ATTCTGGATCTCCTGAAGATGTTCTGAACCACCTGAATTGATTCTGGATCAACTCTGGACCTCCCGGCTCAGTTCTGGACCTCCTGGATCAATTCTGGACCTCCTGGATCTCCTGAAGATGTTCTGAACCACCTGGAACTCCTGGAGATGTTTTGAACCTCCTGGTTCAGTTCTGGATCTCCTGGAGAGGTTCTGAACCTCCAGGATCAACTCGGGACCTCCAGGCTCAGTTCTGGACCTCCAGGATCTCCTGAAGATGTTCTGAACCACCTGAATTGATTCTGGATCGACTCTGGACCTCCCGGCTCAATTCTGAAATTCCTGGCTCAGTTCTGGACCTCCTGGAGAGGTTCTGAACCTCCAGGATCGATTCTGGATCTCCTGAAGAAGTTCTGAACCACCTGAATTGATTCTGGATCAGTTCTGGACCTCCTGGATCAATTCTGAATCTCCTGGTTCAGTTCTGGACAAATTCTGGATCTCCTGGATCAACTCTGGATGTCCCGGCTCAGTTCTGCACCTCCAGGATCTCCTGAAGATGTTCTGAACACCTGAATTGATTCTGGATCAACTCTGGACCTCCTGGCTCAGTTCTGGAACTCCTGGCTCAGTTCTCCTGGATCAGTTCTGAAGCTCCTGGAGAGGTTCTGGATCAACTCTGGACCTCCTGGATCCGTTCTGGACCTCTTGGTTAAGTTCTGAACCTCCTGGATCAATTCTGGATCAATTCTGGACCTCCAGGATCAACTCTGGACCTCCTGGATCAATTCTGAATCTCCTGGATCAGTTCTGGACAAACTCTGCACCTCCCGGCTCAGTTCTGGACCTCCAGGATCTCCTGAAGATGTTCTGAACCACCTGAATTGATTCTGGATCAACTCTGGACCTCCAGGATCAACTCTGGACCTCCAGGATCAGTTCTGGACCTCCTGGAGATGTTCTGAAGTACCTGCATTGATTCTGGATCAACTCTGGACCTCCTGGATCAGTTCTGGACCTCCAGGGTCTCCTGAAGATGTTCTGAACCACCTGAATTGATTCTGGATCAGTTCTGGACCTCCTGGATCAATTCTGGATCTCCTGGATCAGTTCTGGACAAATTCTGGATCTCCTGGATCAACTCTGGATCTCCCGGCTCAGTTCTGCCCCTCCAGGATCTCCTGAAGATGTTCTGAACCACCTGAATTGATTCTGGATCAGTTCTGGACCTCCTGGATCCGTTCTGGAACTCCTGGATCAGTTCTGCCCCTCCCGGCTCAATTCTGGACCTCCTGGAGATGTTCTGAACCTCCAGGATTGATTCTGGATCTCCTGAAGATGTTCTGAACTACCTGGATTGATTCTGGATCAACTCTGGACCTCCTGGCTCAGTTCTGGACCTCCAGGGTCTCCTGAAGATGTTCTGAACTACCTGAATTGATTCTGGATCAACTCTGGACCTCCCGGCTCAGTTCTGGACTTCCTGGATCAATTCTGGATCTCCTGGCTCAGTTCTACACTTCCTGGAGAGGTTCTGAACCTCCTGGATCAACTCTGGACCTCCTGGATCAGTTCTGGACCTCTCGGATCAGTTCTGGATCTCCTGGATCAACTCTGCACCTCCTGGATCAACTTTGGACCTCCTGGATCAGTTCTGGACCTCCTGGCTCAGTTCTGGATCTCCTGGTTCAGTTCTGGACAAACTCTGGACCTCCCGGCTCAGTTCTGGACCTCCTGGAGATGTTTTGAATGTCCAGGATCAACTCTGGACCTCCCGGCTCAGTTCTGGACCTCCT